CTTGATAAGTGATAATGGGTTTTTTTTATGTGCCTATTGGCCAAACATATGACTTTTTTGGAGAAGTGTCATTTTTGCTCTTCTGCCTATTTTTAATCAGGTTATCTGTAAACTTGTGCTTCTCAACAAATGTTCCCAAGGACAAGATAGGACATTTGCTTTAATTTTATGTTGTGTTCTTGTGTTCTCCCCCTCCTCTTGCTCTTTAACTTGGATCTACGGACTTTTTAGGGCCTCCCAACTTTTTTAGACCCTTCCAAGTAATTTCTCAGGCTCTTCTGACCATTCCTTCTGGGGTACCCATGAGTACAACTAGGAAAACATTGAAGTTTTCCCATCATACCACCAAGGATTTCCCAGGATCTTCCATATCTTCCTTTTGTATCAGTCTTTGAAACATCACCGCCTCCCTTTTACTACCCCTAAGTTACCCGAAGTCAGCTCTAGACTCCTAGCTTGATGCTTATATCAAGGGCAGTCTTATGTATCAGCTGGTAAGGATCAGAGACAGATGCCCAGAATAGACAACACTAATTAATCAGACATGATAAGCTTCCCTACTGAGTTCATACTCAGCAAGAGAAGCTTTCTGAAGCAGCTCTTCAGGTAACCAGTACTTACTGATCAAGCTCTATGGTTGATCTGACATAAGATTACTTAATGTAAGAGGATTTCTGGCATAAACTACCCAGTTGAAACAGGTTACAAGAGCAGTAGTAAGATTTTTGTTTTGTTTTCAAGATTTATGATGTTAAATCTTCTGTCTGGGGGCTCTCGGACATAGAGCTATCTTCATCACTAACATAAACATTACCATTCTTTCAGATAATCCTACATAGTAAGTTTCCATACACAGAGGGTCTATTCTGTGTCAGATTTCTCACAGCAATCTGCAGCTAGTTAATGTCCCTAGTTTAGAAATAAGGTTCCAGATGATAAGTGACCGTGGCCAAGATAATAAGTGCTGGTCAGGGTGAGAGTTCAAACTCAGAGCTATCTATCTACTCAGTTCAAGGTCTTTGCACTTTTTTCTGCTCTTTCCCTACTTCTCCCTTCAAGGCCTGACCTAGGGAAAAACCTTATTCTTTCTTGTTTTTTTTTTTTTTGGGGGGGGGGGGGCGAAGATCCTCTCTTTCCTATGTAGCAACCAGGGAGTCAAAGGGATTATGTTTAAGATTTGAAAGACGCATAACTGGAAAACCCTTAATCTACAGAATCCCTGTGTTTATTTATACCTATCATTTGCCTTGTACAGTACCAGCATCTGTTATGACAGGCTTGAACCAGAGGTAAACAGGCCAGGACCCTTTCTCTGACACCTTGTTGAGAGGCCACAGAGGCCTCTCTTCCAATACAAGGGGTAAATAAGATGGTCTAATTATAACAAAGTAAAAATCAAAATCAACAAGGAACTATAAACCAGAGACACACAATGGGGGATGGGGAGAGAAGAGAAGGAGGGATTAGGGTCAAAATAAGGGGGGGTGGGAATTGTATGGGGAACATAACCAAGATAAAAATGCATACATTGTGCAAAAATGAAAAATGATGTAAAAATATATAAAATAAAGATGGTCTGATTGGAAATCAATTTTCATTTATTGAACATCTATGTGCTGAGCTTTGAGCTCATGCCTTTTGATCCAATTTGTGGTCTTTGTGCCACACTTCACATCACTAATCAATCAGTCTTCACATCACAGTGCTCCCCCAAACCCACCCATTATGTGATCATGCTTGCGGTGTTCTGTGCATAGGAGTCCAGAAGGGATAAGGTAGGATGGGAAACTTTGCTTCTAGCCATATACTTCAAGACAATGTGAGTTGTAAGCAAAGGGAAACTATCCTTTGGCAATTTTCCTACATTAACCTGGAGTTATAGGTCCAAGTCTGCAAGAAATTAACCAGGCAGAAAAGAAATCATCTCTGAAATCAAGGACAGACATGAGCACAATAGAAACTGACAAACGGTTTCAGCATTTTAGCATGCTGCTAGTGATTTCTGGTACCAGTCTGTCAGCCAACTACAAATGCTGGTGAGTACTCTCAGGAGAAGGAACTGTGTGCCCAGAGACAGTCACTCTTTGTATGTGAGGATCACCAACGACATTTTCTTCTTCTTTTTTTTATTAGGAGGAGGAAAAATCATCAGAACAGAACAAATAACCTTCATAGCAAGTTAATCAGATGGCAAACTGGTTGTAGGGCATTGGAAATGCCTGGTATGTAGACTGATTCGTTATCCCACTTTTCTGGTACTTGTTGTTCTGGTATAATTACAAACACACTCCTCTTTCACTAAAAGGTGTTTTGATTTTGATAATAAATTGACTTGATGCTCACCTTGCTTATACCGCAGGTTTCAACCTACTGCTCCTTTGGCATGCACACAACTGATTGAGTATATCCAATTTGTGGTCTTCACTTTGTCAGAGGATAGGTTAGTCTGCACAGAAAATCATTCTGTCAGAAAAAAAAGACTGTGATGTTGATGAAATTTCCATGCTATCCCCTCTCAATCTGCTGCACACATATGTGTGCATACACACACACACACACACACACACACACACAATCTGGTGTCAGCAAGTTAGAACAGTGTTGCATGCTTTTGCGAATACCAAATCCATAATAAAATGTTTATTGGATTCTCAGGAAGAAGGTGCAAATATGGAAGCTTTGAATAAATTTTAGTGACTCACCAAATCTCTGCACTGGGTGGAAGACTGGGAAGAGGGGCTCTGTCCTACCAAGTATAATGTCACAAATCAGGTCATTTGCTTGTCAAATGGAGACAGGTTGGCTGCTTGCTGCCCTTTTCCTTTACAACTATGCCCCTGTACCCATGACTCATCCCAGTTCCCAGACCCATTTATTTCATATTCAGTTTCTTCAAATAGCGAAGATGAACTGGCCAGATAAAAACTGGCCAAAAATTTGGGATTCCTTGGCTGGATACTGAGGAAGGAGTTCAGCACAACAGAATTGGTATTTCATTATGCATATACACCTAAGTCTTAGGTCCTATCATTTGCAATTTTGAGGGTCAATCAGAATTGGTGGTGCTCCTGTTTTCTTGAGAATATGAAAACCAGCTCCTCCTGCACTCCCCACATGCGCAACAATAAAAAACCAAAAGTAAAAAGGTGGGACAAGAGTGTCACCTAGTGGCAAATGCATGTTTGTTAATCTTGCTCAATAACAAGTTAGTATGGAGAGTCCATGGGATGTGTCCAACACTTCCTAGGGATTTTTTTAATTTAAAGTTCACAAATTAAAGAATTTAAAGTCAAGAATTTAGAAGAAATGGTCTCTGTTCTCAATGAATCTAGAATTGGGTGGAGGGACATTAACATGTAAAACAACATTAGAATAGTGTGTGATTGAGTTCATAGGGTGGATTTTAGAAACATAAATAAGGGGCTCATTCTGGTGGAGTCAAGTAATGTGTTACAGGGACACTGAGCTGAAGATTAAGGGGAATTAATGACCTCCACACTTGGCTTACCTGTCCCCATGACCAGCTGAATAAGGAGAGAAACCATGAAGGTTGAACTTAGTACACATCATCCATTTCCTCTTGTTTTCTTGCATAGACTAAAATAGCAAAAGATAATGAACACTGTAAGGTTGAGGGTGGTTACTATAGAGCCAAGGGGATGAAGGCTAAAGCTAAGCCCTGCAGATGTAATTAAAGTCCACACCCTCAGCCCCGATGGTCCCAAGCACCTCTACCTTGCCCTCTAGGGTGTAAGAAGAGACTGGGGAGGAAAATGCAACAAAGAGGTGATTCAACCAACATGTTAGTGATTAGACCAGATTCCCAATGAGGACATCTGAGCACAGGTAGTTCAAGCATGGTATGAAATGCAATTTTTGGAAACATATTTTGTTGTTTTTAAGTTAGTCTGATTAGTCAGCTTTCTGTAGTATTGGTTTCTATAATGTGCAAAGAAGAGCAAAGGAAGGAATTCCTCAAGTTAAAAGACTTGCAGCAGGATTTGCAGAGAATAGAAGAGAGGTCACACAGCAAAAATTCCTTGTTTAGTTCTTTTGGGTGTTAGGATTATTTTTTGGTTCTCTATGTTCTGATTTTCTGAGGATAAATGTATACTGCCTTTGTATTTTTTTTAAATATATAGAAAATGTAATCTGAACGGAGTTCTTTTAAGCTTCACACTGAAGAAGTGAAAGATGCATTGGTCACTGGGGAAGCTTTGCACTGGTCTCCACTGGCTGTCTGCAATGTCATCTAATCTAGGGGTGGGTGGAAAACAAAATAATCTTCAAATTCCTGTTCCCTGAGGAAAATATTTTTCTAACTCTATTTAACTATGTCATAATCAGATATTCTACTAACTTATATATCAAAAATAATAGTCACAGCACGAAAACACATTAGGCATGTCGCTTCATTCGTCCTCTTTTCCAATGTGAGAAAAATATTTCTGTTTGTTGCAAAAAAGTAAAACCAGGTAGGATTCTTTTTCCTGTACGCACACTGGAGCGGTGTTTTTCATCTTTGTGTGAGCTTTTTTAAAGGTCTGAATATAGTTTAGTGCAACATGACCTTGAAAGCCCCAGTGGCTGCAAATGTTGCTTTCCGCAAGTACCCAGGTACCAGTCTGTAGAACAGATCTGAACATGGCAGAGGACTGCCGGGCACCAACTCTGAGGTTCAATAACAGTAGTAGTGATACTAGGGAAGGAACACATGGTTTACTTGGTGGCTGGCTCTCTCCCAATTTTAATTCTGGAACTTTAGTCCCAAATCTTTATGCTCCTCTACTGCTCTTTTAGGGATGAAGATGATCAGTTGAGCTAGAGTTCCAGTCCCAAGGAATCACTTTTTCTCACCTACTGTCTTATTTGTAAGGTGCCTAGATGAGGCTGGAATGTAAATACCTACAGTCTGTGGCTGCAATGATGAGATGTGGCAGTGATTCTTAAATCACTAGCTGGCCTAGGACCATTTACTGTTCTGACATTTAAAAAAAAAGCCATCCAAATACATTTTCTTGAAAGAAACATTTATTTATGATCTTTATTGGTCAAACAGTTTCAAACAAATCCAGAACAGGTTTTCACATTTTGAGCCTTTAGTGCAAAGACACAACATCATGCGTGAAATAAATGCTTATCCAGTGAAGCTTCCCTGACGCATTTAAATACTGAGAATGATCAGGCAGAAGAAGACTGATGTGACAGAAATCTGCTCAGAAATCTGCTTGAAAAAGGACATGATTAAAACCCCAGATTAAGGTTTTTCACAACATAAATATGCTTAAACAACTAGTAATCTCAACTTCTAATTTTAAACAAACACCCCAAGAAACAACTATATCCCTTTAAATAAAAAAAATAATCAATTTATACTCTTCTTAAAAGAACTCCAACAATGCAAAATAAGTTCCAATTCCATATATAGATATATATGTACTTTTATAACTTAAGTACTCTTTTGCTCTATATACTTTAATTCATGCAACAGTGACAGAGGACTGGATATGAGGCTCTACAGAGGCCTTTCTGAGAAAGTAGTGTAGCTCCTCACTCTGGCGAAGAACAAGGGGGTATACATCTTGTCAATCTCAAAAGCAGTGACTGCAGTCTCACCAGTTGATCTGGAAAAAAAATACTCATGAAATAGGGCCTCCCCGGTGGCACAGCGGCACAGCGGTAGAGCGCTGGGTTGCGAAGCTGCCCACAGCCTCTGCGGCGCTGGTTCGATTCCCGGCTGCTCCCCGGCCACCGGAGGAGGGTCCCACATGGTGCGCAGACCTCTCCTGCCACCCGCTGCTCCCCTCAGCAGTGTACTTCGGTCCTTCTGCCTGTTCTGCTCCCCGCTCTGGCTCTGGTGAATTCTCTCACCCTCCCGCGCTTCTGACTGTACTCAGTGCATGTATAAACAAAACAAATGAACAAACAAACAAATAAATAAATAAAACATGCCTCTATAAAAAAAAAAAAAAAAAAAAAAAACTTAAAAAAAAAAAAAAAAAAAAGAAATAGCCAGTTACAAGAAATTTCAACTCACTTAGAAGCCTTGTGTGTTTTGGGGGAGAGTATTGTTTCATGCCTTAACCTCTTTAAATTTTAATTCACCTCAGTAAATCCTAAATAATATATCGTAGAAAATTTGAAAAATTTTAAAAAGCACAAAAAGGCTCATGCAAATTCCTCCTTCAGTCATATTAAGAATTTTCTTCCAGTGTTTTTCCTGAGCACCTTAACCTCTATGCAACTATACTACTGAAATCAGACTTTATTAGTAATCCTGATTTTTTTTTTTGATTTAGCATTAAGATACACGGATATCCTCATATCACTAAATACTCTTCAGAAGCTATATTTAATAGCTGCATACTATTTCACTGTCTGCTTGTATCACCATTTATTTATTTATTTTGCACCACAATTCAAAGATTACAGTTTTGTTGGAGATTTAGGTGGTTTTCTATATTTGCCGATGAAAAATCATGTTGTGATGGTTTTTATTATGTTCTTTAAGATTCCTAAGGGTAGAGTTTCTAAGTCAAAGGTTATAAATAAGTCAATACTCTTATTTAATAAGAGTATATTTAAAGAATTTTTAAAGAGTACATTTAAAGAATAAGTGTATGTTTAAAGAATCAGTCCTAAGATAGAATTTAATGACTTAATATTTGCATGATCAATAGCATAATTACAGGTGGGAGAAGTGAGGCAGGTGGCAAGTTATACTACCACAGCCTTTTATTTTCTCCTAAAAAAATGAGAAATACACAAAAGTAGAAAATTCAATTGACTTCATAAATAAAAGGAAGTCAATGCACTTACAAATGATGCCTCTTATAATATCTTATACCCCCTAAAATATACTTTACATTTTCATTTCTTTGGTCCGACTTCTGGATTTGGTTTCTGTTTTTGAAAAGGAAAAAAAAGTCCACTTCACAGATTACTGAAGGACGCAAAATGAAGACTGTAGGACTGGTAGGTAAGGGAGAAAAGAAAGAAAAAAGCTCTTTCTCCGTTATCAGGACCTTCCAAATGAGTGGGGGAAAGTAAGGTAGCCATGTGACCAAGAAAATCGTTAACGGGTCACCTTAAAACCTGGATTCAATTAGGTTGGAGAGTCGTCAGTTATACTAATATTCTTTTTTTTTTTTTTTTTTTTAAATAATAAATTTTATTGTTGTATTCCCCATACAATTGCAGCCCCCCCATTCTGACCCCAATCCCTCCCCTCCCGCCCCCACCCCCCTAAAAGTGTCTCTGGTTCATAGTTTTTTGTTGATTTTGATTTTCACTTTCTTATAGTTATTCGTTTTCCTGGTCCCTTATTTAAGTTTTCTAGATTCCTGCTATGAGTGAGACCATCCGGTATTTTTCTTTTTCTTTTTGGCTTATTTCGCTGAGCATGATCCCTTCCAGCGCCATCCATGTTGCTGCAAATTGCATGTGTTTATCTTTTTTGAATGCTGAGTAATATTCCATGGTATATATGGACCACATCTTCTTGATCCAGTCATCTATTTTTGGGCATTTGGGCTGTTTCCAAAGCTTAGCTATTGTAAACAGTGCTGCTATAAACATAGGGGTGCAGGTGTTCTTTGGAATTGATGTTTCTGTGTCCTTTGGGTAAATACCTAGGAGTGGAATTGCTGGATCATATGGAAGCTCTATGTTTAGTAGGTCCAGAAATCTCCACACAGCTTTCCACAGTGGTTGGACCAGTTTGCACTCCCACCAACAGTGTAGAAGAGTTCCTTTTTCTCCACACCCTCGCCAGCATTTGTTGTTGCTAGTTTTTTTAATATGTGCCATTCTCACTGGTGTAAGATGGTATCTCATGGTAGTTTTGATTTGCATTTCCCTGATGGCAAGTGATGTTGAACATTTTTTCATATGCCTGTTGGCCATTTGCATTTCCTCTTCAGAGAAGTTTCTTTTTAGCTCTTCTGCCCATTTTTTGACTGGATTATTTTCTTTGTTGTTGTTGAGTCTCATCAGCTCTTTGCAGATTTTTGTGATCAGTCCTTTATCATTAGGTGTGGGTGCAAAAATGTTCTCCCAGTTGGTGGGGTTTCTCTTTGTTTGTATTGTCTCTTTTGCTGTGCAGAAGCTCTTTAATTTGATGTAGTCCCAGCTGTTTATCTTTGCCTTCACTATCACTGCTTTGGGTGATGTGTTTGTAAAAATCTTTGATGTGCAATCACGTAGTGTTTCGCCTATATTTCCTTCTATATATATTTTATGGTTTCAGGTCTTATGTCTAGTTCTTTAATCCATTTTGAGTTGATTTTTGTGTATGGTGTGAGGTAGTGGTCAAGCTTCATTCTTTTGCATGTAGCGACCCAGTTTTCCCAGCACCATTTATTGAACAAACTTTCTTTGCTCCAATGCATAGTCTTTGCTCCTTTGTCAAAGATTAGTTGACCATAAATCTGTGGGTTTATTTCTGGATTTTCTATTCGATTCCATTGGTCTGTATGTCTGTTCTTGTTCCAATACCATGCAGTTTTATGATTATGGCTTTGTAGTAGAGTTTGAAGTCTGGGAGTGTAAATGCCTCCATTCCCTTCTTTTTTTTCAGGAGAGCTTTGGCTATTCGGGGTTTTGTAATTCCATATGAATTTCATCAATAATTGTTCTATTCTTTGAAGAATGACATTGAAATTTTGATTGAATACGCGTTGAATCTGTATTGCTTTTGGAAGGATGGCCATTTTAATAATGTTTATTCTTCCAATCCACGAGCAGGGATGTCTCTCCATTTCTTTGTGTCTTCTTCTATTTCTTTAACAGTGTTTTTAGTTTTCTTTGTATAGGTCCTTTACCTCTTTTGTTAGATTGATTCCCAAATATTTGATTTTTTTTGTTTCAATAACAAAAGGGATGGTTTTTTTTGATTTCTTCTTCTTCAGATTTATTGTTTGTGTATAGGAAGGCTACTGACTTTTGCGTGTTGATTTTGTATCCTGCCACTTTACTGAACTGATTGATGAGTTGAATTAGCTTTTCTGTGGAGTTTTGGGGTTCTCTATGTATAATATCATATCATCTGCAAATAGTGATAGTTTGACTTCTCTTTTCCTATTTGGATTCCTTGGAGTCTTTCTCTTGTCTTATTGCCCTAGCGGCTAGGACTTCCAGTATTATATGTGAAAGCAGTGGTGAGAGTGGACATCCTTGTCTTGTTCCAGATCTTAATGGAATTGCTTTCAGCTTTTACCATTGAGAATGATACTGGCTGTTGGCTGTCATAGATGGCCTTTATGATGTTGAGGTATGTTCCTTGTATCCCAAGAATTTCAAGGGCTTTTATCATGAATGGGTGTTGCACTTTGTCGAAAGCTTTCTCAGCATCTATTGATATTATCATATGGTTTTTATATTTCTTTTTGTTGATGTGTTGGATAACGTTGATTGATTTTCGGATGTTAAACCATCCTTGTGCCCCTGGAATGAATCCTACTTGGTCGTGGTGAATTATTTTATGGATACATTGTTGGATTCTGATGGCTAAAATTTTATTGAGGATTTTTGCATCAGTGTTCATTAGGGAGATTGGCCTGTAGTTTTCCTTTTTTGTGTTGTCCTTGTTCGGTTTTGGTATTAGTGTAAGTTGGCTTCATAGAACGTGTTTGGTATTGTCCCTTCCTTCTCAATTTTTTGGAAGAGTTTGTGAAGGATAGGCACTAATTCATCTCTGAATGTTTGGTAGAATTCATGTTAAATCCATCAGGTCCTGGGCTTTGTTTTTGGGGAGTTTTTTAATACCATTTCAATTTCGCTAATTGTAATTGTCTGTTTAGGTGTTCTATTTCTTCTTTATCTAGCTTTGGGTGATTGTAGATTGTAGGAATTTGTCCATCTCCTCTAGATTGTTAAACTTGTTTCCATATAACTGTTCATAGTAGTTACTGATTATTCTTTTGATTTCTGCTGTGTCCGTTGTGATTTCTCCTCTTTCATTGATGATCCTGTTTATTTGTGCTTTCTCCTTTTTTCCTTTGTGAGCCTGGCTAGGGGTTTTCTATTTATTTATTTTTTCAAAGAACCAGCTCTTGGTGTTCATTGATCTTTTGGATTGTTTTTTAGTTCAATTTCATTTATTTCTGCTTTGGTTTTATTATTCTTTCTTCTACTGGTTTTGGGGTTTTTGTTGTTCTTTTTAGATCTTTGAGCTTCGAAATTAGGTTTTTCTTTGAGTTCTTTCTTGTTTCTTGATGTGAGCTTCTATTGCTATATATTTCCTCTTATTACTGCTTTTGCTGCATCCCATACATTTAGGATATTGGTGTCCTCCTTGTCGTTCAATTCAAAAAATTTTATTTCCTCTTTGATCTCCTCATTAGTCCAGTGGTCTTCCAGTAGTGTGGTTTTTAATCTCCATGAGGTAGGAAGTTCCTTGCCTTCTTTTTATGGTTTATTTCTAGTTTGATGCCTTCATGGTCAGAAAAGATGGTTGATATGATTTAATCTTGGTGTATCTGTTGATGTTTGTCTTGTGCCCCAGTATGTGATCGATCCTGGAGAATGATCCGTGTGCGCTTGAGAAAAATGTGTACTCCGTTTTTTTGGGGTTTAGTGTTCTATAGATGTCTGTTAAGCCCAATTGCTCTAGGTCCTTATTAGAGCTTTGGTTTCTTTACTTATTTTTGTCTTGTTGATCTATCCATTGTTGATAGTGGTGTGTTGAAGTCTCCCATTACGTATGTGTTTTCTCTGATGTCTGTTTTCAGAGAGGACAACAGTTGTCTGATATATTTTGGTGCTCCTTCGTTTGGTGCATATATGTTAATGAGTGTTATTTCTTCTTGAAATATTGTCCCCTTGATCATAATGTAGTGACCATTGGGCTCTTTTTTATCTTTTTGAGTTTGAAATCTGTTTTATCTATATAAGTATAGCTGTTCCTGCTTTCTTTTTTGGCCCATTTGCTTGTAGGATTGTTTTCCATCCTTTAACTTTGAGCCTATTTTTATCTTTTGTAGCTAAATGTGTTTTTCCAAAAGGTTGTAGACAGCAAAAGGTTGGGTTTGTTTCTTAATCCGGCTGCAACTCTGTGTCTTTTTATTGAAGAGTTTAGTCCATTTACATTTAGAGTTAATATTGATATGTTAACATCTGTATTTGCCATTGTGTTTGTCTTTCCTTTGATTTTATTTATTTATTCTTTTAATAACTTTTTTTTTTTTTTTTTTGGCCTTCTTTCATTGTTATTCGTCCCTCTGAGGTTCTGGCTTTAGGACTCCTTGTAGTATTTTTTGGAGTGGGGGTTTAGTTGCAATGAAATTCCGGTAGTTTCTGTTTGTCTGGGAAGGTCCATATTCTTTCTTCAAGAAAGGAGAGCGTTTGCGGGATAGAGTATTCTTGGTTGGCATCTGTTTTTCTTGGAGTCTGTTGACTATGTCCCTCCACTCTCTCCTTGCCCGTAGTGTTTCTTCGGAGAAGTCTGATGTCAGCCTGATTGGCTTTCCTTTGAATGTTATCTGTTCTTCCCTCTTGCCAGCTTCATTATTTTTTCCTTGTCCTGGATTCTTGGGAGCGCGCTTATTATTATGTGTCTTGCTGTATTTTTTCTTTCGTCGTGGAAGTTTGGTGTTCTTCTTGCTTCTTGTATATCAATTTTCAGCTCCTTCTTCTCATTTGGGAAGTTCTCTTCAATTATCTCTTTGCAATATTTTCTCTGTTCCTACTTCTCTCCTCTCCTTCTGGTATTCCTATAACTCTTATATTTCCTTTCCTCATGGAGTCAGATAGTTCCCGAAGTCTTTTTCATTCTTTTTACTTCGTACTTCTCTTTCCTTTTCTGTTTTGGTTCTTTTTATTTCTGTGTCTTCAAGAGCACTTATCTTCGTTCTTCCATTTCATCAATTCTGCTTTCATTGCTTTTCCCAGAATTCTTTAGTTCTTCCACTAATTCTTTGATCTCCTGCATTTCTTTTACTTCCCTCTTTAGGGATCTCAATTTCATTCTTCTGATCGTTGATTATTTTTCCCTTATCATTGTTTTCCTTTATGACTTCTGTCAGTTTTTTAATCACGGCAATTTTAAATTCTCTTTCTGGAAGGCTCAGAAGTTCTTCCAAGTTACTGTCGTTGCAATCTGAGGGCTGGTTTTCTTTTTGTGGTGTTTTTTCTGGAGAGTTGCTAGGTTGCGTGTGGTTCTTCTCCTCCCTACTGTCTGTTTTCTAATTTGCCGTATGCGTTGGGACACTGTGTAGTTGGGACTGGCCGGCATCTTGGGTGAGCTTCTCTGCTCCCCTCTGGTTCCTCCAGGAGTCATCTGTCAGTTTCAAGCAGTCTTTATTGGAGAAAGGTCCCTGTCCTAAAATGTCGATGTGGGGACACACTCCCCTGTGCGCCTGGTCTGCCCCGGCGGTGGGTTCCTGCTCCCCACTGGGCTTGGACTGCGGCCAGAGGGGGTCTGGCGTGGGCGAACTTCCCCCGCTCACCTCTGGCTCCTGAGGAAGCCTTCTGCAGGTAGTCTTTACTGAAGAAATGTCCCTGTTCTAAAATGGTGATGTGGGACACACTCCCTGCGCGTACGGTGTCAGGCACACTCTTCTGCGTGCCTGGTCTGCCCCGGCTGTGGTGGCGCGTCGCTCCCCCTGTGGGCTCAGACTACTGGTCGGAAGGGGCCAGGCGTGGGCTAACTCCCCAGCTGGCCACTATCTCCTTCAGGAGCCTGTGCTGGCTTCCAGTCGCTAGGTGGCGCCAGAGATCTCTCCTAGAGCCCTTGGGGAGCTGATTGTCCACCCCGTGGGACAGGGAGCAGAGCGGGGATGGTAGGGTACACCTCAACGGCTTTGGGGTGCTGTGTCTGCCTTGTGCCCCACCGTCGTGCGGAAACCCACCGCCCCTAATTTCGTGCCCCGGGTCTCAGTTCCAAAGCCCTCAGTTCAGGACGCGGGCTGTAGCCCAGATCAGTGGCGCGGGAATGGCGCCTTTTGAATCCGCTCCCCTGCTGCTGGGCGCCGTTCCTGCTCACTCCGGGAGGGCCTCCGCGCGTCTCCCCGCAAGCCTAGGTCGTCTCCCGGCAAGCCTAGGTCGCAGGCGCGGGGACCTGGGCAGCTGCGATCCGATCCCGCCAATCCGCGCCGCCTTTCCCCGCGCAATCCCGCTCCGCGTTTTTTTTCCGGCGCCGCCGCTTCCGCGCAGGCTTACCCGGCGGCCGGGGCTGTGTGCTGGGCTGGGCTCCTCCTGGGCGGGGCTCTCTGCAATGGCGCCCGGAGCTCACCTCCGCGGAGGATCCTGCGGTGGTTCTCCACAGCTCCCGTTCACAGGGTGTGGTGGCTGCAATAGTTCCTTTCCACTCACAGTCCCGCTTGCTGCGTCCTTTGTTCTTGTTGGCCGTTTTAGTTTGTCGTTTTCCTCCTCTCTGCGGGTCAGAGAGTGCCGCCTCTGTGGGCGGGGGAGGGGAGCAGGGTTCCTGCCGCTCCCTGCCTTCTGGTCCTCTTTTATGGCAACTTTCTTCTTCGGGCAGTTTGCTGGTGTCGTCCGTTTATCTTCCGTGTCACAGTTCTCACTGGGACCTGCCGCTTTTCCTCCCTATTAACTTTTTTTTAATGGGAGATCTTACTCGCAGCGTCTCCTCGCCGCCATGTTGCTCCGCCCCTTATACTAATATTCTTTCAAACCCAACAACAGTGAACTTCAATATCACACAAATTGTTATTTCACTTTCCCATTTTTTTAATTTTTATTTCTGTACCCTTCCTCAATCATTTCACACAGGCTAAATCCTAATTCATAGAACAAAGAGCTTTAAATAGGAACCACATATTAGATTTAGCTTCAAAACACATGACACCCTTCTATCTGCCTTGTTTTTATAAAAAATTCATTTTTATTAAAATGAGTATGTAAACCCTAAGGATAAACTAGGTGGAAATAAAGTGAAAGATGCTGTGCTATGAGTGAAACATGGGAGAAGAAAAATGTGGTAGTGTTTTACAATTGCCTTGGGTAAGTCAGAGAGTAAGTTGGCCACTTACTTGGAGTTCTGGATATTCCATATCCTGGATGATCTTTATATTTTTCATTTTGGCCATTTTCTTGATTTGTAGGAACAGTATACCAAGGTTTACCCTGGTAATGCAATGTTAACTTTGAAGGATGCAAGACATACCTGAAGTTTCCTAAGTCTGACATAAAATACACGTTTATTCTGTAACCTTGTTATTTTTACTGCATTCACCTACTTGTAAGTAATGTGACAAGAATGATGTATCCAGATGAGTTTGTTGAACCTCTGGTGGCCACTGGAACACAGTTGTAACCCCACATGAAAACTTTGATCTGCTTCTTGTACAGGGACACGACGAAAATATCTGTACTTATAGTCCAGTGGTTTCTGTAAAAGAAAGGGTACAAAGTTATAATGAAACCTCACTTCACTGATTTTATATAAATACAAATATATATGACTATGAATATTCATAATATATGAATATTTATAGGACTATATAATGCAAGACTGACAATAGAAATAACATATCGGCATACAGTAGAGAGGTGTCTTGGGTATCAAAAGAGAATGTATGTAAGTGTCTTAAAAAATGTCCAGCACTCTAAAAATTTAAGGTTTTATTCCCTAGCCTTGAATCCATTCATCATCACAATAAGCCCATGTGCTAAATATGGCTGCATTACTACTATGTAATGGCTAAAGGAATGAAGACCGAGGCAGTTCCAGTGAGTTAACCAAAGCTATTAAGCAGTTTAAGAGGTGAAAATTAAAATTTCACTCTCTTATCTCAAAGTCTAGACTTTGTTTCTATTTGAAAATAGTTGGTAATGTTTAAAAGGGAAAGCGATCAACTGGTGAAGGCTGCAGAAAAGCCAAGTATCTTGCAATGTCAGCGAAATAAGTCAATGCAGAAATAGATGTGAAAAGGATCATTAGAATCACGCTTCTCTAAAAACTGCCAGTAAAAACACAAGAATATCAATGCTATGTATGGTTTGATTGTATCATATATTCTGGAGAGAAAACTGATACTGCAAGTGGAAGTTCCTAAACTCTTTTTTATTAGATAAAAATCTAAACAACTAGGCCCTCATAATGTCTCAATTTCAGCTTCAGGAAACTCATGGCTATAGTCACAGTCCTAGCAACTATCTCTGTTCCTCAGCTGGCTGGCCCAGATTCTAGCGTCTACCAAAGGAAGGTGGAGAAGCCAGCCAAAGCTGTCCAGAAGGTGATAGGACTCACAGAGGAAACCAGACTGAATTATCTCAATACATGATGCTAGGGAAGAGAGGATGGTTTAGTACTAGGAGACATTCTTTCAAACGCCACACTAATTTATACTATTTTATTAATAAATACAATTATGTTTAGTACTAATTTATTAAAAAGTTCTATCAAGACCTATACTGATTTATAATTTATTTAGGTGAGTATACTCATATAGGACTTCTTGATTTTTAACCAGGATTGAAAAAAATGCACATTGAGAAAGGTTGTGGGAAAAAATTAGGCATTCAAACTGTTGTGTTGAGAGATTATGGACCTCTAGAATGTAACAATTCAACAATCATATTTGCTTGGTGTATTTTTCCTTTTGTAAGAACAGGAAGAAGAAAATTATCTTTCATTAGATTATTTCCAGTAGAAACTGAAATTCTCTATAAGAAGATCCTTGTGAAAGAATTATCTACATGAGTGAATTTAAGGAAAATCCTCTATGATTCAAAATGAGAAAAGCCAAAAAAACAGAGTCAGGTATAATTTTACTAGCCATCACATAGGACATTTGGGTTTTATATTTTCTGGAGCAGAATAGGAAACCATCTAGAGAAAAACAAGCTGATCCAATTTAAAAAATAACATTTTAGAAAACACTTTAATTCATTTAAAAGATGCTATAAGCCAATATACATTTTGTATAGTAGTTTAAACAATGAAACAGTATTTTTTTATACTTTCCAATAAAGAATGCTTGAATGAGCATAGCAATAAAATAAAGAGAAAACTGCCAATTCTGCCTTATATACTTACTTCTTCTTTTTTCTTAGTTATCACAGCAAATACTTTGGTCTGATTGTCTGTATCTTGTGACAAGCGATAATGACCCAGTAGAACTGCATCAGTTCTAAAAATTAAAAAATACACTTTAAATCTAAGGCTATTACAGTTATTTTGTATTTTTAAGTAATCTAGAAAGAAATGGGTTACAAAAGTGTTTATTCAATTTGTCTGACAAGAACCTGCTCGGATATGAGTTATCCTAATTGCCAAGGCCCCAGACACCTACATTCTGCAGAGAGGCCCAGGAGTTGGTGTTTTTCCTAAGAGCCTCCTGTGACCAGTTTTCTATCATTAAGGAAACAGAAGGGTGCATTAACCTCCAACTAACCATAGAAAACATGGACTGAATAAAAAACTACAGAAAAATAATACCTGGCATTCCGATTTCTTAAACGAGGAACAATGGACAGAGGCTCCTCAGGGGTTGTCAACATCATCACATGGCCATCAGGAAAGAATCTTATATACCTATGTAAATAATAAAAGGACACCAAAGACACCACACACACACAAAGTATAACACAGGTCCGTATTTACTTGTACCTAAGCCTATTCATACCTATCATAGGAAAAATACCCTGGGCAAAAGAACTGGTAAAACACCATTGAAATAAACATGACTGTCAACTTGTGAATCTAGCAACAGAAAGCTAAAGGCATTTGATTGTTTTTCTCAGAGAACTTTTGAAATCTTAGTTTCATTCACTGAATAAAAAATCATTAAACATCTCTCTATTAAAGTTCTGTGTGTTGCCCCTAAAACACAATCAACAGCAAACAAATCTGAGCTCTAATGGTAATACACAGCTACTAACATAAGTCTACTTATTTTTCAGAGACAGAAATATCTGATGACAGTAATATCTTATTCAGCAGTTCCCGTTATAACACAGAACAAAAATACCAAGGACGATTCTGTAGATAAATGCACAAGCCACAAAGAACAGATGTCCAATAACTAATAAACTATACTCGGAGAGAGAGAATTTTTCACTCACTCAGTTTACTACAGTTGTACCTGTAATATTCCACGTGGTGCCAGGCTCTATAGAAACCATCAAGAGACTGCTCCCCTTGACGAATATATGTTGTTTTACTGATATACACACCTATGAATAATGTAATGAAAAACATTTAAAATTACAATCACATAATACATTTCCAACTTTATTAATACTGTAGTTTCCTTTAAATAGCTTCATAGTACTTAGGTTTGCTACAGAAGATTAAGATTGTATATTTATCAAAATCAGAATGCTAGTTCACCATTTATCCTGAGTCCGAAGGCGTTCATCTTACCATCAAACCGAACACGAGGCCTTTCTAGAAACATCTCTCTCCAGGATGTGTATGGAACAAGTTTAATACAACTTCTGCCCCAAACTTTCAAGCAGGCCAAACGCCATATTTCAGGGTCTCTAGGAAATAAAAACACAATATTATATACATATAACATATTGATTGATAAATATCAGTTAGAACCATCATTATATATAAAAGGTTTATAAGTCCCAATAGACAGATCTTGGAAATATCTTTGCGACTAGCCATCCTTTGTTCAGCAAATATTTGCTGAGTCCTGCCAGGCACTGTACTATTGGCCACTGGAGAGACACTGAAGAAGGCAAAGGCCTTGCTCTTTTAATGATGGGGAAAAAAAACAAAATTCAGAAAACAGAGAAAAGTTTCAGGTAGTGTGCTCAGTGCAAAAAAGTGCAGAGTAAAGAGACCAGGACAATAGCGTTGGGGAAACATAGTATTTCAGATTCATGTGGCTGCAGCAAAGTGAGCAAGGTGAAGTACAGAGTATGTGATTTGAGAGATGCAATCGGGAGTGGGTGAGGTAGTGGCTTGCAGGTGGGAGTGGTTATTTAAATGAGATGGATGCCACTACAGGGTTGTGAGCATGACTTGTGTCCTTAAAATGATCATGCAGGGCCTCCCCTGGTGGCACAGCGGTTGAGCGGTGGGCTGCGAGACTGCCTACAGCCTCTGCAGCACCGGTTTGTTCCCAGGCCGCCGGTGAGGGTCCCACAAAAAAAAAAAAAAAAAGATCATGCAGAGGTTTATGGAGAATATGTTCTAAGGGTATGTGGAAACAGAGAGGTCATGTAGGATGTCACTGCCATAATCCAGACCAGGCATCATGGTGGCTGAACCAGAATGACACTTAAAGAACACTGAAATGGTCAGGCTGGGCATATCTTTTGAAGATAGCCAAGATATTCTTAAGGGATTAGTGCAAAAAGTGAAGGAAAAGATTCACTGAAAATGGACATGATTCTAATACAGTTCAAAACATATCCATTTATAACTTAAAACATTCCTTTTTAACATGCAAAAACTATATTGGAGCAAGACTGTCAGAAAAGAACCTCCCTCCCAATTTTATATTGGAATGTTTCTTTTGAATTTCTTTTAATGATTTATAACACATGACACTTTACCCCTGTAAATTTATTTTCAGATCAATTCCTTCTTTATAATGTTTTCTCACATATAATTAAAAGTTAACAGAGTAACAATGCTAGAAATCCCAACTGTAAAAGCTTGGTGGCAATTCACCGAGTGTTTAACAAGTACTTACTAGGTACTTATTAAATTGCATGAGGAATCACCAAAAAGCAAAAGCTTCAAGCAATTCAAAAGTTTACCCAAAATATAAGATTCCAACTTGAAATTAGGTTAAAAGTAACGCATCAAATATAAAAGTTCTCATAAAAAAAATGCAACTGAATTATAAGAACTAAAATTTATATAAAAGTTCTAGATATTAAAGACTAAGTATATATTTTTGACGTAAGATACCCATGAGAGATATTCAAGGTAATCACTCAGTCTCAAACGATGTTATACTAAACTATCATTATTTTTCATATATGAAGATGCTAAAAGTATGGGATAATTTTTATGAAAGTTCAGTACACTCTAACTTTAAGTCACTACCACTTAATAGGTTTAGAGTTACCATGAAAATGAATTGAATCAGCTAAGCTAGCATGAAAACTATCCTGTGGAAACAACATGTGTGACTACATTTGTTCCATATATTATTTTATATCCTGTACTAGCCTTTAAACATTAAGTTATCTGAGAAAATCACATACAGTTTAGCTAAACTGATCATTCTAAGCTTTTGCCCAGAGTATCAATAAAAATTCTTTAATCAAAACTGCAAAAGACGCATACTCTTTTTTTCCCCACTACCTGAGTTATTTAAAAAAAAAGAAATAAGGGCCTCCCAAGTGGCAGGGGTTAAAATCCCAGCGCTATCAAGCTATCACCAGCCACTGCGGCATGAGTTCTGAGTTCTATCTCCAGCCAGGGAGCTAAGCCACATGGTGAAGCAGACTTCTCCTGTCACCCCCACTGTTTCCCTCAGCAATGTATTTCAGTACAGCCACCTGTTCTGCTCCCTACTTTGTCTCCAGGAAATACTCTCAACCCGTACCTCTGGCCTGTACCCCACTTCTTGTGTGCATAAATAAGTAAAAATTAAAAAAATATATATGTAAATAAAATTTGTAACAAGTATTAACTTATAATCAGATCAAAAAACCCCAAAAAGCCCACAAATAAACTTAAGTACCTGGCACAGATATAGAATCCTCTGCACACCTGTGACAGCTGTTCTAATGATCTGAGGTCCAAGTCACTGGACACCACCCACCGGAAGATGTACATCAGGACCTCCATTGGAAGCACTGCAAAATAAAAACGTTACTGTCATATATGTCATTCTACTGCTAAGTTCCCATGCAGATATCTTTTGTATTCCTAGAAATTTACAAATCACACCCTCAGTAGTGCTCAGAGCTACAGCCTAAGTTATTAAAGTTCCCCAAAGTTATAACCATTCCTAACATCAAGACATAAAATTTTCACTCCTTTTTAAATATAGAACAGATCTAAAACTGCTTTTATAAAGTACCCCTTTCTCTTGGTAGGTCATTTATCACCAAGATATATTAAAATAAATGTGTTAGAAAAAGTGCTATACGTACATGATCTATATTGGATTTGCTAACACTAAAAAGTTATTTTCATTTCCTTGAAATTTTTCAATAGTCCTCTTGTGAAAAATCCCATAAATAAACAATATTTAACATATGAAAGGAAAAGAAACACACTGACTTTTAAACATTCAGCCTAGCTCAGAATTAGTAACTTGGCAAAAACATCTGATACCAATATTCTTCCAATTTTCTTAGAGCTGGCCCAAATCTGACACTTACTGTCTTAGATCTTCACTGAAAAAAGCATGGAATCCTCTAACAACTGTACTGTACAAACTCTGCTCTGCCTCAGATTTTGAAGAGCTTATTAGTATATATAGACAGTAATTATAACCAGATATTCCACCATATTTTGAACTAACTTACTGGCAAATGATCTAAACTACTAAGTTTAGAAAACTTAACTCTAAGATGAAAGTATTTCTCATGGAGTTATAACAAGCATGAATTCACACCTGATATGTGAGTCTGACTGCTCTCAAGTTCAGGCTGACACAGTTTGAGCACAGACTCCTGAAATGTGAGCTGCTGCTGGAAGTAGGACAAGAGATCTGCCATCTTGCTATCATCGTCATTATCTTCCATGCTGAAAAAAGAGGGAAGTGAATAAAAAAAAAAAAAGGCCTGTCTACAAGCACAAAGCTTAGAAACTGATTTTTTTCATAGTACTTTCAAATCTGCTTTAGAAAGTCATCAAAAAGCAAACTGTGAAAAGTTTATCTTTATCATGCCTCAGAAAAAGGTGTCATGACAAGTCATCCCAAGAAAAAAAACTTTCATAATTTTAATTTCCACCCAGAAAGAGTTAGAACTTTTGAGGACAAGTATTGAGATTTAATTAGTTTTATTGTAGAGATTTCATGAGTTAGTGAAAAAGGTATTTAAAATGATTTTAAAACTCTTAAAGTCTTTTAATTTTCCATAATTCATTCTAATTGGATAAAAATCAAATATACAGATGTCATTTGAGGTACTCACTACCAAGGGTATTCTAATAGTGCCTTACTGTAATTTTAAAAATCTTAGCAGGATCCCTAAATTACTGACCAATATAAACAAATATGTAGTAATAAGAGTTCTAGGAAAATATCTATCCTTTCATTTTTGTTGAAATTAATCTTAAAAACAAAGACTAACAAAAAAGCTTAGATGAGAATGAAGTTAGAAAACTAGGAAGGGCTTAATACAATATAAGAAAGGGCAAGCATGGGCAAGGCTAGATGAACTCAATGTTTACTAACATTTTACAGAGGGCAAAAACCAGCAAAGAGACTTTTAGGATTTATCAGATCTGATATGAAAAAACAACTGTACACTTAAAGAGTTTTCACAGCATTGTATTAAAGGATGGGATAGAGAAGAAATGTTTCTTTAATGTTTTGATCAAATTATTTTAACAGCACCTAGGAGCTATTTATAAAACTGGCTAAAAGCTGGGTCTAAGTGACTCGATGCAAATTTAAAGGTTTAGAATAGCTCAAAAGATTTGCTTTGAATATCAACTACCTCACACTGCTGAATATAATTTAGTGAACAATATTAATAAACAAAAAGTTCAAACATGGAATGTTATTCAAAGCTTAAGCACTAATGATGTAAGTTTAAAACCCTGGCAATAAGCATGTTATCAATAAAGTTAATTATTAAATTATTTCATAATTATTACTTAATAACATCTAATATAAACATAGAAATGTAATGTCTCACTGCCAAAACTTTATTTTTGTATGTCTTGCTCATTTTAAATATCACATTCCCTCTTGGGGACAGAATCCTTCTCCTCTATTATAAGCAAAACTGAGCTTTTGGAGATAGAGTGCTTATATCAAAACAATTTTATAATTTCCTTACAAATAACCTCAAGAGCATTGGCTTAAAAATACATTCTCCTGACCTTTGTCCATATGAAACTATCAATGCCATTTCATGACGTCAATGCAAGCAGCATCTATCCAAACCAACATGGTTTCTTTTAGGGATGCTTGTATCCTATACCCGTGCTTTTTAACAATTGCGCCACAAATAAACCGTAATAAGTCTTAATAACACTCTACCTACATACCTTGAAAGAATAAAGTATTGTTATAGTTCATCATTTTCCTAACACTATGCAGTCTTTTGAAAAAAAAGTAGTTTCAAACATAAAGGAAAGAAAGGCTAGTGTGATGAAACCCCATGTACTCGTCGCCCAATTTCAACCACTACATTTTGTCAACTTCAATAGTTTTAACTTTAAATAGGCTCCAGAAAGTTGAAAAGTGTCTATTAATTTCTACTCGTTTCAATAATCACTGCTTTTATTTAAAAAGTCACCTCTGTCACTTAATCTTTGTTGTATCTGTTTAGAATATGCATTTCTACATTTTAATCTTAAAAATTCTCCTAACTAAAATTTTCTATAGCTTTATAAACAAGTCTTTACACTGAAGACCACATAACTTAACAAAAGGAGCACCGTCTTCTAAAATGAAGAACCAACAGGGCAAAGACACTTAACTTAAACAACTATGTATTACTGTCTATCAAATTATATACGCACTAGCTGTTTCCAACGCCATCACCATCTGGAGACCGGGTATAAGTAATCTTGAACTCTATATCAGGTACAAGCTGCATAGCCCTACGATAAAACTTGATGGCTAAAAGAAGAAATAAAGCTAAATTAGCTATGGCCACACATTTTGTCATTTCCTTTGATTACCCTTAACTGTGGTTTAATTTGGTAACATTCTTTACAGTCAAATTCCCTTTTTCTACACGCAACAAGAGTTCAGTGAACAAACTTATTTCCAAATCAACTACTCATAATCTCTTTTTTTTTTTTTTTTAAAGAGGCACGTATTTTATTCATTTATTTATTTATTTGTTTGTTTTTGTTTTTATACATGCACTGGGTACAGTCAGAAGCACGGGAGGGTGAGAGAATTCACCAGAGCCAGAGCGGGGAGCAGAGCAGGCAGAAGGACCGAAGTACACTGCTGAGGGGAGCAGCGGGCGGCAGGAGAGGTCTGCGCGCCATGTGGGACCCTCCTCCGGTGGCCGGGGAGCAGCCGGGGATCGAACCGGCGCCACAGAGGCCGGGGGCAGCTTCACAACCCAGCGCTCAACCGCTGCGCCACCGGGGAGGCCCTCATAATCTCTTTTCTCAAGGTAGAAGCTTAAGATGTTGTACTTGACTCTTTTAGTCCTTCCCATCTTTTGCCTCACCCTCTTATGTGCTGGCAGGAGCGATCTCATGGGGTAGTTTTCTTCAGGCCTTGAAAATGCAATTGTTATAGTCCCAACAAAAACACTTATTTTAAGGAGTCATTTCTTTTGAGAATGCAGAGTTGAATAAAATCAATTGTTTCCTACTTAGTGGAATAAAGACAAGAATTTCTCAGAATTTATCCTTCAAATTCAACTTCCTTTAACCAAGCTGCCTCTTATTTTGCTATACAACTCTGAAAACCTTTTTTTCTTTTTTAATTTCCTGGCCAGTTGGTTTAGAACTATAATATTTAATAATCTCTCACACAGAGCTGTACCAATAGAACTGCAGAGGCCAGTTAATTCTTTTCCCCTAAGATGAAGATTAGTCACTTCAATACACTCTGCCATGCTTTATTACTCAGTGAATTATAATATACTAAAGACTAATATACTGAAGACTAGAGGGATTTGCTTATTTGGGTCATTTTAATATTTTGGAGTAAAAATACCACTAAAGAAACTTGCAAATAAATACAGCAATTCTGAAAGTGTTATTTTGGGGGTATTTTCAAATGATTAAAGCACAAGCATTTTTCCCATGCCCCAATTATTAGCTTTACTATCACAAAAGGAAAGCATAACTACAAACAGCCCCACTACTTTGGTTATTTATGCAAATCTACTAGGTGAATAAAAGGGACAAAGCTGAGGGTATTCTTTTTAGTAAAATATAAATTATAATTTAGAAAATATATGTATCTTGTACTCAGCCTATCCTTTATATTTCCCTCCTATGAAGTAATTTTCACTTATAAAAGGAACATATCTTATTTCTAAATAACAATATTTTTAAGACTTTACTAATAAAGAATAAATAGTAAAACCTAACTGTAGAAAAAGGTTATTTTACTCATCCTATGATGATGTTTCCTAGCAATATTTTTTTGAAAGACATAAAATTATACAAAGATATTTTTTTCTAATTTTTAAAAAAGCAACTTCAAATATTGGGAGATTGATGTTCTATACCAAATATATTCTAATATAAAAAAATGGATCAATAACAAAGAACTGTTATTCAGCAATGTTATGAGAATATAATCTCAGGATGAGTTTTTACCTTCATAAAGAGCTCCATTCTGTTCTTCTTCTACTGCTTTTAGAAAAAGTTCTCGAGCCTATAAAAATAAACAATAAAAAACAATTTTTGAAAACCTGTATTAAAAATGAGTACGAATAGTGAAATCATCTTAACAAATGGTGCTGGGACAGCTGGACATCCAATAGGCAAAAAACAATGAGCCTCAACCTAAACTTAACATCTTACATAAAAATTAACTAGAGAATGAATCATAGACTTAATGTAAATCACAGACCTAAAAGTAAAACTTTTAGGAAAAAAAATCTTGGAGACTGAGGACTAGCCAAAAAATTATTGAATCAGATACCAAAAACACAACCCATAAAAGGAAAACTTGATAAACTGGATTCATCAAAATGAAAAACTTTTGCTCTGTGAAATACCTTTAGAGAAATGAAAAGACAAGCTACAAACTGAAAGTTTTTACATGTCACATATTCAATAAAGGACTAGTATTTAGAATACACAGAACTCTTAAAACTCAACTGTGAAAACATAGACAAACATATCTCAGAAAGGATATAAAGATGGAAAATGGCACAGATAAAGACATTGTGTTATCCCTGGGAAAACACAAAGTGAAATTACAATGAAGTAACACTAGATACCTATTTGGAATGTTTAAAATTAAAAGGTAGTAATAACATCAGATGCTGATGAGAATGCAGAGACATTGAGTCACTCATACATGGCTGAAGGGAACATTGGTGGTACAGATACTCTGGAAAGCAGTTTGAGAGTTACTCTGAACTGAACATACATCCCAGCACATGCACTCTTAGGCATTTATCTTAGAGAAATGAAAACTTATGTTCATGCAAAAAACTGCATGTAAATAGTCATAGTAGGTTACTCATAATAGCCAAACCAAGAAACAACCTAAATGTCCTTCAACTTGTGAATAATTTTTGAAATGGGGTTCAAATTCATCAAAAGGATATAACTTATTAATATTTATGCATCTAACACAAGGGCACTTGGTTATATAAAGGACTATTAAACATCCAAAACAAAATATTGATAAAAATACAATGATTGTGAGAGACCTCAACACACCACTGACATGAAGGGATAGATCATTTAGGCAGAAAATTAAAGAAATAAATGCCTTACATGAAGAGTTAGGCCAGATGGATCTAATGGACAGTTTTCCATCCCCAAAGAAATAAATATACTTTCTTCTTAAGTATAAGAATAGATCATATACTGGGACACAAAAAATGTCTCAGAAAATACATGAAAATAGAAATTTTACCAAGCATATTCACAAATTACAATAGATAAAGCTAAGTATTAACCATAAAAAGAATCTTCAAATAAACCAAAACATGTGGAGACTAAACACATGTTTGACACAAAATTGACGAGCTCTTAGTTAGACTTATGAAGAAAAAAGGAGAGAAAACCCAAATAAAATCAGAAATGAAAGAGATGACATTACAACAGATGCTGCCGAAATAAAGTCATGGCCATGCAATGGAAAAAGGAAAGCTTCTTTAACAAACGGTGCTGGGAAACATGAAAAGCCATAGGCAAAAAAATGAAACTAGATCCATACTTAACTCCATACACAAAAATTAATTCAAAATGGATTAAAGATCTGAATATCAAAACCAAAACCATAAAAAGAAACATTAAAAAAAACACAGGGAACATACTACAGGAGATTCACCCTGAAGATGTATTTGGGAACTCATTCCAATGGCTAGTAAAAATGAAACCAAAAAGAAACAAGTGGGACTACATCAAACTAAAACTTTTTTGTACCTCAAAAGAAACAATCACCAAAACAAACAAACAAAAAGGAAACCTACAAAATGGAAACAGATTTGCAAATCACCCATCTGACAAGAGGCCAGTTTCCAAAACATACAAAGCCATCATATGGATCCAACAAGAAAAGAGACAACCCTATCAAAAAAATGGGCAAAAGACCAAAACAGACATTTTTCTAAAAATATTCAGACTATAATTGTCCAACATCACTTATTGTAAAGGAAATGCATATCACAACCACAATGAGGTATATCACCTCAACCTTGTGAAAATAGCTCATGTCGAAAAGAATGAAAACAAATGTTGGCAAGGATGTGTTGAAAAACAACTCTCATCCACTGCTGGCGGGAATGCATGTTGGTGCTATCTCTATGGAAAATGATATGAAGATGTCTTAAGAAAATAAACATGGAAATTCCTTATATTCAGCAATACCTCTAGTAGGTTATTTATCCTAAAAATATGAAAACTAATATGAAGAGATTTATGTAGTCGTATGTTCTTAGTAGCAATGTCTACAAAATGCCAAGTCATGGAACCAACCCAAGTGCCCATCAATAGAACAATGATAAAAAAAATTGTGAACAATATACTCTATCAAACACTACACAGCTATTTAAAAAGATGAAGTAGTGTTTCGTGGGACAAAATGGAATGACCTCACAGTGATTATGTTAAATGAAATTAAGTCAGAAATCGAAAGGCAGATAATGGACGATTTCGCTTATTTGTGAGATATAACCAACAATAATACACGGACAAAACAGAGCAAATCTTGGACTTAGTAAAAAAAATTTAATGGTTACCAGAAAGAAGGGGGAAAGGGAGACATAATGGGGCACTGGCATGATAATGCAGGCTGACTGGAACATGTACATATGGTGGAGTAAAAAAATGTAACCTTAAAATTAAAATTAAAAAAAAAATTAAGGAGGGCCTCCCCGGTGGTGCAGCGGTTGAGCGCTGGGTTGCGAAGCTGCCCGCAGCCTCTGCAGCGCCGGTTCAATCCCCAGCTGCTCCCCGGCCACCGGAGGAGGGTCCCATATGGCGCGCAGACCTCTCCTGCCGCCCGCTGCTCCCCTCAGCAGTGTACTTCGGTCCTTCTGCCTGCTCTGCTCCCCTCTCTGGCTCTGGTGAATTCTCTCACCCTCCTGTGCTTCTGACTGTACCCAGTGCTTGTATAAATAAATAAAAAAAAAAGAAAAGAAAAAAGAAAAAAGAACTATTTTTAAAAATAAAAAAAAAAAATTAAGGAAATGTTTTTTAAAAAAATTGTTATTTAGCACACCATAAACACTACTGAGCAATAAAAAGGAGCAAACTATTAATACACAATTTGGATAGACCTCAAAGGAATTATGCTAACTCAAAAGGTTACATACTATATAAGTTCAGAAATACAACACTTTTGGAATATCAAAATTACAGAAACAGATTAGTAGTTGCCAGTGAACTGTGAGAGGATATAACTATAAAGGTATACAGGAAGAGGGAGCCTTGTGGTGAAAAATATAGATCTTAACTGTGGTGGTGGTTACATGAAGCTACTACACATGCTATTCAATTGCATAGAATGTTATAAACTTATGCACATAAAAGCGTTGTTGAGTTTGAGGACTGTGAATAAGCTCTGTGGAGTGTATCAATGTCTAGTTCCAAGTTTTGGATAGCACACTACAGCTATGCAGGTTGTCACCACAGAAGGAGCATGTGTGAAGGTTGCACAGGACTTCCCTGTATCTGTGACTCTGTAATTGTTTCAATATAAAAATTAAGACAAAATGAACATGGAAAGTTTTAGTTATCATGGATAATGTAAATTATTAAACAGCAAATTATTTGTGAACAAAAACTGGGATCTAACGGTGTAAAGTTGATGGCCTCTACAGAAGTGGAGAAAAATGAAAAGCGCATTGGTGTACTGTGTCTACTTCACGTGAATAGCAGCAAAGAGGTGAACAATCAGATAGCAGGCACAATTTTTCAGTATAAATACTTTCAAAATTTTCCAGAATAAGGAAGTGATTGATACATCATTTTTAATTTGTTCAGTGCAAATGTAACAAAATACTACATTAAATCTTTGGAAAGGTGTTAACATTTGAAGAACGTTTTTTCCCTTTTGGGCTTCTGTTAATAAATTCAGAGGCATCAATCTTTTAGTGAATCTCACGGTCATATAAATTACCAATACAGTTCCTACAGAAAGTTTTTCCTACAAGAAAGAAGACAATAAGGAGTTATGGTATCATCCAAAACCATTAGTAGTAGTGAGGGATAACTGAACTGATAAACTTGTCAAATTTTTTTCCACATGAAGAAAAATTTTATAGTATAACTTATGTCCTCATGTCACCAGAATAGTTATAATCATTACTTATGTCAGTGAAATTTATGTGTTTCCCCTCCCCTCCTAAAAGTTATTTAGTACAATGTCCATAATACTTAACTTTTCTTCTTTTGCTACTTCTTGCTTTCCTTTGGTGTCTGCTGCTTTCAGCAAAGAGCCTCTTGCTGCTCTGGAAGGTCGAGTATCTAAATTGCTAGAGCTTACACCTGGGCCAAGTTCAAACATCCACTGAGCTCGGAACATCTGGAGTTGTGCCTATAGGGAGAAAAATATATTAGGACTTATCAAGGAAGAGCAGTTCACTCTTGAAACAATGTGTCACTAGCCTAACATAAATTTTCATAATTTAAATATATTTAAGACTAGAAAACACTCTTTAAATCACTAAATTGACACTCATTAAGCACATATTACCTAATTTTTTGTTTAAAACTTTAAAGAAATTCACCTAAGTTTGTACAGGAAAAATCTAATGGTATTGAAAACCAAATTTTAATTTGAACTGAAAATATAAGCCATTACTTAGGGACTGAACTTAGACACTTTGAAACATTTCTTTATTCAGTATATAACATATAGCAATGTTAAAGAGCGAGGCTAAAAAAAAATCGGTGAGCCCAAAGTCTTTCTGTTAGTAACCATTCTTAAAAAAAGGTTTAAAAAAGAAATTTTTGTTCCTAATACATATCATGTGAAAATTTTTAGATATAGACAAAGTGAAGTCCACTGTGTGGTGGACCAGGCTGTACTGCCCAGATGCCCTGCAGGAATAAAGTACCAATGACCCCAGCTATTGAAAAGTGCTACCAAAAACCATCTTGCTTAAGCCCTTTTGGATATTGTCTCAGCAAGTTCATGACCCCTTCTGAGGAGATCCAATGATCAATGGACCAGATCAATGACTGATAAAGGCCTATCTCTGAAAGGTTATTCCATCCTCAGCACCTGCCCAGGATTGGGTAAGGCAATCCATTGAGACAGCACAGCAGTTAAATTTTTTTCCATGCCCATTCCAAATTCCCTTCCTTCTACAAGTATCGGTCCCACAAACACTCCCTAATAAACCTCCTTCAAAGTAATCTCTACCTAACAGTCACCTTTCCAGGGAACCCAACCTGAGAGGCCCTTTTTGCCCAAGAAGGTTACTGTCACTAGGACTGTATACATTATTCCTGGCTTTTTTAAAAAAGGAATCTATAAAATACGTTAACTTTAAAAAAATATTTTTCTCAATATTCTGCGTGCATTGCTTTGTCTCCAACCTTTCTGCTAACACATAACACAAACCTCTGACCTAAAGAGTCTTTAGCAGCACTCCCAATAGCTACTTGAGGATGCACTCCAAACAAATAAGTATTTATTGTGATCCAATTGCTAGACTGCCCTCCAAAAAGTTGCAGCTATTTATACTTTCATGTATAATACATGAGAGTTCTCCTAGTCTGGACAGCAATGGGTATTATTCACCAATCTAATTGGTTAAAAAAAAAAAAAAGCATCTCATTGTAGATTTATTTAATTTGTATATTTTAAACTATGAATGAGACTAATTATCTCTCCAAATAGCCATTTATATTTTCTTTTCCATTAGTTGTCCATTCATATTTTTTTATCCTGTGTTTCTTTTACCGATTTGTAAGAATGTTCTATATACTGAGACTATCAATCCTCTGCCTGTTTGTGATAAACAGTTTTTCCAGCTGATTATTTCCCTAGATTTATATTTTTTGCTCTATATAGGTTTTAAACTCTTAGGTGGTCAAATTTATCATTTATTTATTTATTTTTGTGAGACCCTCGCCGGTGGCCGGGGATCGAGCTGGCGCTACAGAGGCTACAGGCAGCCTTGCAACCCAGCGCTCAACCGCTGTGCCACCAGGGGAAGCCCAAATTTATCAACTTTTTTCTTTAAATATACTGAGTCACACTTGAGCCTTGGTTTCAATATTTTAAATCCACAAATAGATTTACAAAGCAGCAATTATTGATCTTTTTTAACAGAAAAAGATATTCAATGCAAAATAAGCACTTGCAAATTTTCACAATAATGACCAACTTCTGTTTATGCATGGAAAACAATGGAATAAGAATTAAATATACAACTGAAGAAACCTGCCTGCAGATCTGTTTCAGCAGTACTTTCTTTTTTTTCATCATCTCCTGCTCTGACAGTATCAGAATGACAATCTTCCTCAGCTTCTGCCTGAGGGGAAAGAAAAAACAAACAATCAGGAATATGCAAACATCATTTTCCCTTTGTAATCTATTATACATCTTCTATTCAGTTACATGCCCAATGAAATACATAATTGCTTCTCCTTCTGTATCTTCTTCATAGCTAAGTTTAGTTATTCCAGTAGATAAAATTTGATCCTTTAATTTTTTAGCACTATATGACAAATATCTTTACTGGTAGTTGTTTGGTAGATGGTTAGAGAGAACAACTTTGCTTTAGAAAACAGGACCATATAGTCCTATATAAATGTTCCTTCTTTTACACAACTGGCATGTTAATATCCAAATATAATTTTTGTTTGCTTATTAACATTTTAGATGCTGGGAAAGCTCATTAAAAATGTTATAGGGCAGCCCCGATATTGAACGGGAAGCCTGTATGGAATTAGCTTTAGGACATCCTTTTCCCCCTAACAAAAATATTTAATAGTGAATGTTTTTGTAAAGTAATGCCTTCTATTTTTATATGTTTTATACATCCAGATTTTTTATATACTGGATTTGAATAAAGCTGATTAAAATTACTGTGTATGGCTTGGGGCTTAAAAGAGGTCTCAGGTCGGATTACTTCCATTTTATTTATTTTCAATAATTGTTTGCTAAATTAAACTGAACTCCACCTTCCAGTGAAAATCAAAGTGCTGCTTCAGGTCAGTCGGTTAGTTAATGTATTTATTAGCAAATGGAACTTACTCAACACTTAGGGTGTTCAATCCTACATGTGGCAATCAGGGAAATGATGTTGAAGGTTAGAAACAAAAATATCAAAAATTACTTAATTTTATTTGTTCCAAAGACAGTAAGTGTTACAATTGCAAATTTTACTAATAATTTGTTTCCAGGAAGGACAAAAACATCTGTATTAACTACAATTTTTTAACACGTTACCCAGTTATACTTGCATTACTTTATAGCTCAGCATCAATAAGCCTTGCTTTCTATCTTATCTCTGGTAACCAGGCTCAAAACATAAGTTCCTTGAGAAAGAGACAACCCCACAGTCAGAGGTGAGCTGAAATCCCACACAAACCAGGCCCACCACTGGCTACCGGTTGGAGCCCAGAGGGAGATCCAGCCCCCAGCGCAGACCGAGGGCACAGGGAAGTACCTCCAGATGCGCCATATTAAGACAAGGAACTCTGCCTCTGGGCCTCACCAAAGCTGTGTGGAACTGAGAAAGGGCTGACCCCACAGTCAGAGTCCAGCTGAAATCCCTGCACAAGCCAGGCCCCGCCACTGGCTGCCAGATGGAACCCAGTGGGTGATCCAGCCACCACCATGGCAGACCAAGGGCACAGGGAAGTGCCTCCCAGCAGCGCTATATCTAAGACAGGGAGCCTTGCATCTGGACCTCACCAAAACTGTGTGGAACTGAGAAAGGGCTGTCCCCACAGTCAGAGGTGAGCTGAAAGCCCACACAAGCCAGGCCCTGCGACTGGCTGCTGACTGGCTGCCAGCTGGAGCCCAGAGGGGGATCCAGCCGAGCAGGAAGTGCCTCCCAGACAAAGCATCCTTAAGACTGGGAGTTTTGAGTCCGGACCTCACCAAAACTGTGTGGAACTGAGAAAGGGCTATCCCCAGAGTCAGCGGGAAGCCGAAAAGCGTGCACAAGCCAGGCCCCATGTCTGGTCCTGAGTAGGAACGGAACCCAGAAGGGGATCCAGCAATTAGGTGCCCAGGTGTGATCCAGCCACCGCCAGGGCAGTCTGAGGGACCTCAAAACCCAAAGTATAAGTTCCTTTAAGACTTGAACTAGATAGTATATGGTGAAGTGCTTGACACTACGTAAAAGCTAAGCCAGTGAAGAAACAATTTAAGAAAAGCCATGTGCCGAATGAATTTCCAGAAAACTAGAAAACTGAAGGATGAATGCACTGTCAAAAATAAATACATATTATGAGTTGCTTTAAGCTGAGAACTTTTCCAACTGAGCACATCACTAATAGGAAAATACATTATAAAGGATTCTGAATTTAGAGATCTCACTGAGAAGTATATTTCTCTACTTCTCAAATAAGAGTCCGCTTTATTATTGCAAACTCTAAGTACAACTAATGGAAGGAGACTTGCGTTCCCTAGGGTATCCTTTCAATAATTCAGCCTTTTATCTCTTGCCTGGGTATCATTCTAAAATGACTTCATTTCCAGAGCTTCCCCTGCTCTCTCCAGTTCTGTGCTCTTGCATATACTGCTTGCTCTCCTTCTGGAATGACTTCTCCCTTACTAGCTACTTCCACTCATCATCTAAGATTCCGGTATCATCCCAGTGGGAAGCATTTTCTGATCACTTGATTTACCTCTTTTGCTTTCCATAATACTTGTGCCTGCATCTCACCACTTAAGACTTAAATTGAAATTATATTTGTCTCCCTCAGTAATTAGTGCCCAACACACTCTTGATTCATAGTAAAAGCCTGTCCAGGCCACAGCTATCTTATCTATAAAGAATGCTGATTCTGATGGCCTTTGAGTTCCCTTTTCATAAGCAACATTCTGCAATTAAAAGTTGACCTTTTGTAGCTAACAGGTAATATTATACCAGGGTCTATCACTATGACAAGTTCATAATAGGTCCTCAGAAAAATAATAAACTGGTTGAGTTAACAAATAAAACAACGTATAGATCCATAATGCACATCTTAAGATGAGGAAAGGAACAGGAAACCTATAATACAGCATCTTTCTTCTCCCCTGCGCTTTTGTGTCACAATACAGTTCTACTCCATCATTACTTTGATTTTGACAGTATGGTAACAAAAACAAAAAACTATCCAATTGGGCGTTTTATTACTACATTTTGTCAACTCATATACCACTTGAAATAAGTAGGTACTAAGCTGTCACCCTATGATTTTCACCTTTTTCATTTTTTAATTTTTTACACTATATTTGACCTGTGTCATCACCTGTGACTTGAGTAGCTAGCATGTTCACTTGAGTTGCTCATGTTTTCATCATTTTATTCCTTTTTCACACTTGGGGGTCCGGAATACAAAAAGTTAAGTATTTAATCCTGGTCAGAGAACTACTGAAAGTTTAGGGGTATAGTCAAGCTTTCTTTCCTCAGATTTTTTTTTTTCCCACCTCTATCTGTCCTCCAGATTCACTTAATAAACTTAACCAGCCAGCCATCAATTTATTCAATAAACATGTGTGTCAACTATGAGCTAATTACTTCGGCAACCTTTCACCCTTGATTCAGTCAACACTCGACAGAAATTTGTTTCTCAGCTGCCCAATTTACTAGAAGCCAAAGAAAGGCAGCGCTGGACAGAGACTACATATTCCAGCATGCAAGAGTCCCATGGAATTTGCGTTGTCAAATTTTGGAGCTTAGCTCAGACTCCGCATTTGGGGCGCACTGACGCCGCTCTCACGCGGTGAAGTGAGTCAGTCCATCCAATCCCAGGCCACCAGGACTGCTTGCCAACATCCACCCCGGGGCACGGACGCGTCACGGGGCAGGTGCGTCCTACACCACAACTCCTGAAAGGGCCAGAACAGCCTCTCGCTGGGTGCGGCTTTGCAAAGGAGAAGCAATCAACAAGTGTCTCCTCTTGCCTAAGTCCCCTCCGATTTCAGATGCTGCGTCGGCTCACTGCCTTGGAAAAAGCCCTTGCAAGGGAGGGGTCCTCAGGTGGCCGCGGAGGGGCATTTTTCTCTCCGCTGTCCGGCAAATCAGCTCTCCTCACCTCGAATCCCGGCTGAGGGAAGGGGCGTTCTGCAGGACGGAACCCCGGGGAGCACTCAAGGATCGGGGCCCCATAACGGGCGGCGGCCGTGCGGCTCCCACTCCTCCCAGTCTCGCCTTCTCGCAGCTCCTCCCAGGCCCGGTCCCTCCGGCACAGCGCACCCCCAGATCCCACGGCTCCCCCAGCCCCCGCACGTTACCATGCTGGCTGGGCGGCCGGCCGCCGCGAGAGGCTCTCCGCGCCCCCTCTGCACCGTCCCCACGAGGAGGTGTGCTGGGTGTCCGGGTGTCTACTCCTGCCAGTCCGCCGCGGCTGGGCTTAGCAGAGTTCTCGGTCGGAGAAGCGCACCAGGCAGCGGCAGTAACTGCGGGCCCGGCGTACGGCAGCCATCTTCACGGGGCAGGGGGCCAGATCGGGACGCGCAGGAGCAGCGGCCGGGGACTCGCGTCGCGGAAGGGCGCCCGCTGCCAGCCGAAACGAGGACTAAGCGAGCGCGGGAGCGTCAACCCCACTGGAGACCCGGGACGCCGCGGCGGAGCTGCCTCCTCTGCTGCGGAACCTGCGGCGGCGCACGGAGCATGCGCAGTGCCGCCGCCGCCCGCCGGCCCCGCGCAGCTCCCCGGCCCCGGCGCGCCGCCGCGGGGAGGGCCGAGTGGGCGTGGGCCTGCTCCGGGCGCGGGGCGCGCCGCCGGTTTGCCGAACCCGGAGCCCGGCCCACGTTTTTGCCTCACTTAAGGGAACTTGAACAAGAGTTACCTCAGAAAATGAGCTCAGATTTAGGGTTGAGAGCCTGAGGCAAGCATGGAACTTGGTACTCGGGACTGTCGCTTAACGGTCTGCGGTGACGGGCTAAAGTACAGGGCCAGGAATATAGGGGAACAGTGAAACCCCCTTAGAGTCATAGGGTACTGGAACACTAAATTTTTTTAAGCATGGGCGTGAAGGTTGATGGGTGTAGGAGAGTAACCGACGGAAGGAAAACTCAGCCGACGCAATGGACGTCTCATTACAAAACCCGTCATTCAACTGGGACGGACAGCGAAGCCCGGACCCGGAAGCACGATCCCGGCGCCCCAGCCCCCCGCGGAGCATCATGGGATTTGTAGTCGGCTGTTCCGTATTGAGCGCCGGAACTCAGCATTAGGTCCTTGCCCCACCTCTTAAAGCCCAAGCACTTTCTTTCTTTTTCGTAGAAGAAACACTTATTTACCAGGAGATATTTTACTTTTCACACTTTAAATTATTTTAAATACAAGCTCTCGCATGTCTTGTAAAATCCTTCAGTCTGACAGCCTTTTCATTTATACTTAACGAGTTTCTAAAGTTTCTTCTAGGTGCTTGGAGCTAACAGTCATTAGGATCCAAAGACGACTTTCAAATGAGTGAATCCAGAATTTGTGTTTATTATTGAAGAAGTGAAAAAATAGCTAACAGTTTTAATATTGCAGGTCCCTGCAACACTTAAAAAGATTTTAATAGCAAATATCCCCAAATTTTAATGCAAATGCGTTTCCCTTTTATTATTTACTATTGCATATTATGTTCTATTCATTTATTATTAATGTGATATTTATCCCCTCTATTAATTTTTAATTCCATATTCAAAATTGAACTTTAAATATTGGTGATCATAGAATTTAGATTCATTATTTTTATTCTGGAGATACTACAAATGCAGTATATTGTCTGAAATATTAGGCAAAAGAAAGGATGGTGGGGGAATATGAGGGAATGGTCCCAAATGGCATTTGTTAATATTAGAGTTTGCCCTTCTGGTGGGCGTGTTTTGATTTTTCTTTTTTCTAATGGGTGTATTTGCACCCTAAATCAGCTACTTATAAAAAGTACCTTAATGTTTAATAGAGGTCATTCAATTGCTTTTAGTTTTTAAGGGAGACTGTAAGGCTAGGTCTTTCAAAGATGATTTTTCTCCCAAGACTTATTTTCCCCAACATTCACATAACTTTTGTTATAGTATGTTGTTATACTTGTTCTATTTTATTGTTATTAATCTCTTACTGTGCCTAATTCATAAAATAACCATTATCATAGGTATATAGGTATGCATGTAAAGGAAACAGCATAGTTTCAGTATTATCTAAGAATTTAAGTATTCACTGTGGGTCTTTGTACTGTCCCTGATGGACAAAGGGGGAGCTACTGTGTTATCACTTTGAACCAGTTACTGGGGGGCTGTTCTATTTATTGTAGCATGTTTATCAACATTTCTTATCGCTAGATGCCAGTAGCAGATGCCACCCCTGTCTCCCATTTGTGACAACCAAATAAAGGTCTTTCAGACCCAATGGCTTCTTTAAAACTAGGGTTTTAAATTTAAGTCCAGGGCCTCCCCAGTGGCGCAGCGGTTGAGCGCTGGGTTGCGAAGCTGCCCGCGGCCTCTGCAGCGCCGGTTCGATCCCCGGCTTCTCCCCGGCCACCAGAGGAGGGTCCCATATGGCGCTCAGACCTCTCCTGCCGCCCGCTGCTCCCCTCAGCAGTGTATGTCAGTCCTTCTGCCTGCGCTGCTCCCCGCTCTGGCTCTGGTGAATTCTCTCACCCTCCCTAGCTTCTGACTGTACCCAGTGCATGTATAAACAAACAAATAAATAAATAAAATAAATAAATAATGCATGCCTCTTAAAAAAAAAAAATTTAAGTCCAGGGGGAAAATTAAATGTAAAGATTTGTAACAGAGCAAAATGATAAATGTTACTTTTGCATACGAAAGTTTGTCAATGAAGAATGGGACCTTGAAATGCTTTCAGAACAAGTTTTATTTACCAGGTTGAATGTTAATTTAATACATCCCTCTCAACACAGATGGTTTCTCTTCTAGCAAAAAACAATAAAGCTTAGTAAAATAATAACTATTTGTAATAGTAAATTGAACATAGTAAATTAAATTTGTTCAATTAAATTGAAATAGTAAATAGTAAATTAAAACATCATTATGTTTTACAGTTACTAATTTCCTATTTTAGTTAAGTATCCACTGGCCCTCTTTATAGGGTTATATTATTACATCATATTATATTTATAGGGTTATAATTTTCCCAAGGCCAGACTACTGACCTAAGCTATTTACTAGTCGTGTGCCACTGATTGCCAGGTAAACTGGAATGGACAACTGAGTTTGACTAAAAATATCAAAACTCCCTCGTCTTCCTGTCTTTTTGTTATGACTTTCAATTTTCATTTGCCATATGTTTTGGGTATTAAGTAGGTAAACACAAAGGTAGATAAATATACACATGCCAAGTGACCAGATAACTCTTTCCCATTTGAGACAGGAAGTCTAAGGAAATTTGACTGTTTTATATTTTGTAGGTTTCTTTAGAAGACCAGAGATCCCTGTAGCCAGCAGACCAAGAGAGAGAGAGAGATTTGGGCCTTTTATAGATTATTTTAGGAAAAAACATTGTCTTCAGTACTTGCAATATAAAAAAAAAAAAATAGTGAGAAAATTAACATGTTGATGAGCTGGAAAATTTAAACTCAGAGTAGGCCCCACAAGGCATTAAAGGGTTATTGCTTTATTAATGAATGTGCTACTTAGGACAAAATGGTTTCCATTAGCTCTCTAATCCCAGAAACCTTTCTAAAAATATCTTCCAGGTGATTCTGATGCTTTCAGCTACCTTGAAAACCATTGATTTAGGGGGCAATTACATAAATTTAAATTGAGGACCTGGTAGCAGTTTCATTTTTTCAAAACTCTCCAGAACTTGTCTCTATATAGATGATGTAAGGTAACATCTACAATATCATTTATCACACAGATGGGTGTGTTTAAGATGTGGTTATGTATTAGATTTCATGGAGCTAGTTAGCAGCACAGTATCTCATCGGTTTCCCGCCTAAGAAATAATTTCTCCAACTAAAGTTGTTCATATACGCACTCGTAAAATTCAAATGAACGCTAACAGTCAGTTGCATTTTTATCTTAAGTATTTTTATTGTGTTATCTATACAACACGATTTGCTACCTTAATCATTTTTGAGAGTACAATTCAGTGGTTTGATTTCCTTCGCAGGTTCGTGCTACCTCAGTAACATTTCTTAAAATCAGGAAAATGTTTTCATCGTGATTACGGCTAGTGAAATTGCCTTATCACGTGCATCCACGGCCTCCATGTCTAACTCTTGATTCCTAGTGCAGCCGATCTGTAGTAAGGAGCTGGCGGGCGCATTCTTGGTCAGCTCGCCGCGGGGAGCCCAGGGCACAGTCCCGGCCCCGGGCGGAGAGGACCGAGCTCAGCCGCTGGGCGCCCCCGGGCGGCCTGCGCGCGGTGCAGGGACGCGCAGAGCCAGCGAGGGGAGCTGCAGGGTAACTTTTCCCAGGGAAAGCGGCCGGTCGTCCCCACTAGCAGCCTCCCTGCCTTTTGTTTGTTTTCCTGCCGGAGGCTGGAGAGCGGCCGGGTTCTTTCCGCTGTACCATGCGCCGTGCGGCCCGAGCGACACGCCGGTCCTCCCGGGCGTCCTTGCACGGACCCCTCGGCCTGTCCTAGCAGGGATCGCCCCCATTCCCAGTTTCCGAGCGGACTGCTGCGCCCCAGTCGCCGAGGAGCTACACTCACCGCAGGGGCGGACCCCCCGCCTGTGTTCGCGGCACCAGTAAGTGGCACCCGGAGCTTGGGGGCTTCCGCTGGGCGACCTGTCACTCGGGGTGATGGACTGTGGAGAGACCCCAGTCGGGGATCCCCGGCGAGGGATCGGAGGGGGAGGGAGAACCTAATGGGCTGTAGTTACTCATCTCGGTCATAGGGATCTCTGTCCCCTTCGGCTTGAAAACTCCCGTTTCTTCGGAGTCTGGAAGATTTTGATGGGTGTTTATCTTTTAGTCTTTAAGAGATAAAAGATTTTTGCCTCTTTGAAGCATCTTAGTAGGATGCAGACGACTTGCTCATGGAATTTTTCTGACTAGGCCTTTGGCTGTCCCGCAAGGGGTCTGAGCAAGAATCCTCACATTTATGTGCAACCATTTTTCACTGGATTTCTTTCTCATCCGAGTAGATGTTGTGAGGGGGATGTTCAAGGATTTCCCAGAACCCCCTTTTCTTTTGTCATGCATCTTTTAAAGTTTGGCTTTGGTGCTAACATTGAGAGCTTTTACTTTTACTTTTAAATGTAAAAGTAGTAGTTTGGTGCATCATTCTGCAGATAAGAGAATTCATCTCCACTTATAACTAAATAAAGATCTGCTTTTGCTAACGCTGGGCTGTGTGAGAGACTCCCACCCTGGATTCTGTATGCAGGACCAGATGTCGGGAAGATAGTGCCACTAGTGTTTTTTGTTTTAGCCTGGAGCACTCTTTGTAGCAATAGAAGTTTGGGAGCTACAGTTTTCATTTCTCCCATTTTCTGGTGAGTGGGCTTTCAGGATGTGCCCCAACAGTGGATTGTATTATTGCTGAATGTAAAATTTAAATGACTTTTAAATTTGTGTAGTCAACATATAAACTAATAAGAAGAATTTGTCTCAACCATATGCTAACTGTGCAAGGAGTTAATATATGCATAAATATGCACATTTGAAATAGTTTCTGAACAAAGCGCTTC